AGGCAGGAGGGTGGAGGAGTGCTTGGAATGGAAAGGGAAAAAAAATGGTTTAGATTAAAAGTGCTTTGGGGATGAGGGTGGGCTAGCATTTGGTAACGGAGCGGAATCTGTAAACCTTGTAAGAAATTCCTGTCATTTAAATGACACATTTGGCAGGGTGGCAGGGGATAAAACCCAGGGTCTTGGGCATGTTAAGCATACTGTCATTGAGCCATACCCCAGCTCCTTGATGTTTAGTCAGGGGCTCACGATATAGGTCAGGTTGTCTTCAAACTTGTAACTACTGCCTCCACTTGCTAAACACTGGATTACAAGCACATTTGTGAACTTCTGCTCCCTGTTCTCTGTGTAGTTTTAAAAACACACACAGAAGATCCTCTGTCGCCGGGAGGTGGTGGCATATGCCTTTAATCCCAGCACTTGGGAGGCAGAGGCAGGAGGATCTCTGTGAGTTCGAGGCCAGCCTAATCTACAGAGCAAGTTCCAGGAAAGCCGAGGCTGGTAGAGAAACCCTGTCTCAAAAAAACCTAACCCCAAACACCCAAAACAACAACAAAAAAGATCCTCTGTCACCTTCTCTATCCTTTAGGAGAGGAGACTCTGGCAAATGAATTTAAACAACTATTTTTGGGGGGTGGGGCACTCTTCTCTATGAACCAAGGGAAGAACCAGCAAAAACCTCAATGCCTAGGCTCACAAACGCCATGCGTGTCTAAACGCACAAGACCATAACTTGTTAGAGCCTTTTTTACTGTTTTTCTTCAAAGAGCTAAAAGCACTTTTATTTCCTCATTTATTTTGACATTCTACTGTGGGAAGGGCAGATTTACGATAACATTATTTATAGACGGAGAAATTGGAAATAGAGATGAAATCGCTTACTCAAGCCTGCATAGCTAGGGTGGTGGAGCCACTGGAATTTGGTTCTCCGGGCTCCAGCCACAAAACGGAAAGAGCATGCGCGTTGGAATTAGAGGGATCTTTGAGCAATCCTGTTTCGACCCCGTAACAAGAATGTGGCCTTAAGTCAATTACTTCACCTCAGTCTCAGCTAGTCTCATTTGTAAAAGTAAGACGGTAAAAACCCCACAGCACAGTGAAGATTAATTTAGAAAATGCAGGTAAAGCCTCGACACCGAACAGTCCTCAAGTAAGATTTGTCCGTTCCCCCCCCCCCGCCCCCCGCAACCCAGAATTATCTGGTTCAGTTTCAGTACAGATCAAAAAGAATCCTCCATTAAAACTCATTTTCCCCGACCTCATCTCTTGTCGAGAGAAAAAGAAGATGAATAAGAAATGTTCCAAAATGTCATTTAATTAATGGAAAGACTTTTTGGGGGCTGACTGGGAATGTAGTTCAGTGGCATTTGTTTCCAATGGGCTGAGAGACACACTTCAATCCTCATCACTACAAAACAAACACTAATCCTCTCCTCCCCACAACAAAACAATCCCATGCTGTAGATTTACCACAATTAAACAAAGAATACGTGAAAGGCAGGCTTCTAGAGCGCTGCAGTTTAACTGGAGAGCTTATCGGAATGCCCTGGTTGGGGAGGTGGGGTACTCCAAACAAAGATCGTCAGGTCTTATCCTAAAGTTACAGCTTTACGAGGTCTGGGGCGGGGCTTGGTAATTTGCATCTTTAACAAGTCCGCAGGTGATGCTGAGCTGCCAGACCCGCACACAACTCGAGAAGCGCTATCCTGGGTGAGTGAAAGGTTGGGGATGGGGCCAGCAATGCCTTTAACAGGCCCTCCAGGTGACGGCCATGCACTTTCACGATTAAGAACTGCTTGGCAAGGCGGTGAGAATACAGATTCACTTTTAAATCCAGGCTACAGTGCTTACCAGTTAGTTAGTTGAGAGTCTGTGATTGAGGATTCCTCCTCTCATTAGGTCTCTAGGCCTTGGGGCATGTGTGTGTGCCTGGGATTGGGGGTGGGGGTAGGGGTGGTAATGGCTAGAGACAACTTAAATTTTGTCCGTGCAGGCTCTGTTTTTTTTTTGTTGTTATTTATTTATTTATTTTTGTTTTCAAGACAGGGTTTCTCTGTGTAGCTTTGCGCCTTTCCTCGAACTCACAGAGATCTACCTGGCTCTGCCTCCCGAGTGCTGGGATTGAAGGTGTGCGCCATCCCCTCCCCTCCCCCCGGCTGTAGGCTCTGTTTTTTGCTTCACTCTACTAGGAAGCATGGAAGGATGCTTGAACTTGGGAATTATGGAAGTATTTACAAACATTTCTGCAATTACATAAAACACAAGGCAGTATTTTAAATACAGCACTTGTGATGGGATTGTTTGCATCTTAAGTTTGTAATAAGGGGTTTTCTTTTACCCTGTCTTTCTGTTTTAAGACTCCTCCCTGAAGTACTTAACAGACACTATGAATTCTTAGTCTCTCTCTCTCTCTCTCTCTCTCTCTCTCTCTCTCTCTCTCTCTCTCTCTCTCTCTCTCTC